CCTCTTAAGGATGTTTTCGAACCTTGATACTCAGATTTCAGCCTCCTGTGTTGCTAGCACTACAGCGTAAGTCGCCAGCACCCAACTAGAGCCATTTTTACTCTTTTTTTTTGGTCAGTCATGGGGCCCGAACTCTGGGCCTAGGCACTGCCCCTCAGCTCTTCAGCCCAAGGCTAGCGCTCTACCACTTGAGCCTCAGCACTACTTCCAGCTTTTTTTGCTTATGTGGTGCTGAAGAATCGAACCCAGGGCCATGATGCACACGAGGCGAGCACTCTACCACTGAGCCCCTTTCCCAGTTTTTAGATCACACAACTTTGCAAATATTTTGTCCTCTCAGTCTGCCCTGGAGGTGGGGCGGGGCGGGGCAGGGCTCTGTGCTGGAGCCTGCACTGGCTCTAGCAATTTTTTTTTTTGGTTGGTCATGGGTCTTGAACTCTGGGCCTGGGCGCTGTCCCTCAGCTCTTCAGCTCAAGGCAAGCGCTCTACCACTTGAGCTACAGCGCCACTTCTGGTTTTCTGGTGGTTTATTGGAGATAGTCTCACAGTCTCTCCTGCCCTGGCTGGCTTTGAACCACGATCCTCAGATCTCAGCCTCCTGAGTAGCTTGGCTGTAGCATTTAAGTTGGTAGTGGGGAGGAAGCCACAGGCCTGGGAGGTGGCTGCTAAGCCACAGCCTAAGAGGCCGCTGGGGGGGTGGGTATTGGCTCTAGACCCCTCCCACATCCTTCTCCTGCAGCACCCATGAGTGCAAAGTCCTGGCTCTCGTGCTCCTGGGAAGGGGCTGTGGGGATCCAGGGCCCATGCTTTATATCCTGCGTATGTGTGCCCACACCTGCGCTCACACGTGCACACACACATGCACACACACGCATACACAATGCGCTTGGCCTGTGATCCATGGACAGACCCAGATCTCCTGTCCTTTTGCATTAGAGTCACTCTCAGCCCTGCAGATTTATCATGTTTTAATAAAACTCCCTGAGTGGTAAATGTATGAAGCCCCTGTCTGTGTTTCCTATTCTGTAATAAAGCTCGCTTGAATGAGCTTTGAAGGATGGAGCTGTAAACCTGCCCTCTGCGTTCAGGGACAGCGCGGCTGGAGCTGGCTGGGGCTGGACCCTGGCTTTGGGCTCCCGATCCACAGGGCTGGACGCAGCCCCTGCGTGCCCCTCAGCCCTGCCCCCTACCCCTAGGTAAGCAGGCAGGGTCTCGGCCTCTCCTCCTGGGAGAAGTTTGCAAAGCCCAGGAGCAAGACCTGCAGCGTTTTTATTAAGTGGTGAGCATCCTTATCTGTGGGGTGAGAGCTGAAGTTAAGGTTTGAGAGAATTCTCGCTGTCCCTGCTCTGCCCTGGAGGAGTGACCCTGGACCATGCTCAGGGCCCCCAGCCAGTTCCCCCCCTCTCCGGGGGCTGTTTCCCCCCGGAGCTTTGCTGAGGGAGGCCGGCAGCTACTTACAGGTGTTTTTGTGAGCCCCTCAATGAGATGACCCCCCAACTGTGACCTTGACCTCTCCGACTGTGACCTTGACCTCTCAGACTGTGACCTCAACCTCCCCTAGACTGTCATTTGACCTCCTTCAGACAGTGACCTTGACATCTCCCCAATGGTGCCCTTGATTTCTGCCCTCAGACTGGCCCGGGCCTCCCTCTCCTTACCCCCTCCCCCCGCCCCCAGCATGTGGCTGGATGGAGTGGGCTGGGCTCCGTGGAGTGGGTCTCTCTTCTGCTTGTGGCTGGGCTCACGCATGTGTCTGTGGTCAGCAGCTGGTGCTTCGTAGGGTCACGGGTGCTGGCCTGCCCCCCTAGGGTGGATGGCAGGGAGACGGGCCTGTCCAAGGCGCCGGCCTGTGGCGGTCTGGTGGGGGCACCTGGCCCTCTCCACCTCACTCAGCGGCTGGTGTGAGTCTGCGTCCAGGGAGGTCCTGCGGCTGGCGGTTCCCCTGGGACCAGGGCCTGCTGAGTGTGTGACCGTGGCGCGGGGACAGCAGTACAGCCCCGATGTGTGGCGCTGGACGGTTTCCATGGCATAAAACATTCCCATCCCAGCCGGCAGCAAGCTGCCAAACTGATGTCATCCCGTTCAGCGTGGGGTGCGGGGTGAGCCGTTCCAGGCCCGCACGGTACCCGTGAGGGAGCGCCCAGAGTCCCACGGGGCTGGCTGGGTCTGGGGACAGCCACTGGGCAGGACACCGCTGGCCTGGCAGGACAAATGGACCTTAACCGCTCCCCCTGCTCCCCCCCCACCAGCCTGGCTGCTCACACTTTGCAGGGCCGTGAGTGAAGCGCAGGTGGAGGGCGCTGGCCCTGCATTGCTGGTTGCAGGATTCTGGAAGTCCTGCCTGTGCCTGCAGAAAGCCCTCGGGACCTGGCACGTCCTGGGCAGGAAGGACGGAGGTGCCCTGCCCCTCTGAGCTGCTCCCCCCGCTGCCGGCGTCTTTCAGCTGCTGGCGACTGTCTGCCCAGCTCAGCCTCACCCGGCCTTGGGCTGTGTCCCCCCCCCCCCCCGTTTCTAACCCGCACCTCCTTGTGGTGCAGGGGTGAGGCCTTCTGCTAGCTGAGCCCCCGGCCAGGGCACCCGCGCAGCTCCGCAGCCCAGAGCCCCTGCGCTGGCCACGGCTTTGCACAGAAGGATCTTGGGGTGCCCGGCACCGCGGTGGGTGCTCTGCATTTGAGGGCTCCGTCCATCCTCCCCCACCACCCACCCCACGCTGTCACCACAGACACAGCAGCAAAGCCCGGTGAGTTCCTCAGGCCGCGGGGCCCACGGGGGTCCGTCCTGGTGCCCTGACAGCCACGTGGCCTCTGCCGGCTCCAGAGTCCTCAGGGCTGGCTGGTGGCCTTGACCACCTCCCCGGGGGCTGCCCCATCTGCACAGGACCCTGGGTATGGGGTCTGGGCTCCTGCCAGGGGCGGAGGTCCCCTCCTCCTCTCTGGCCTTCTTCCCTGTGTGTTGGGAATGGCACCCGAAGGACCGGCTGGGCTGGGTGTCTGTATTTTGCAACCCCGCCCACTGGCCTGAACAAATGGCTGAGTGCTGCGTGCTGTGTGCTGCGTGGGCTCCCGGGCCACCTGCCAGTGTTTCTGGTTCTTGCCTGGCTTGGTGCAGGCTTTGGGGGGAACAGGAGGGCCATGCCCAACATTCCACAGTGGGAAAGGGGGAGGTAGGCGGGAGATGGGGAAGGGAGGGAGGAGGGAGGGAGGAGGGAGGGGGAGGGGAGGGCCCAGCCCATCCTCAACACTTCCTAGGGCCTTCCTGGAGTGTCAGCTTTGAGGACCGGCGCTGGCATAGCCTGGGGTCCTGCAGAGAAGGGCGCAGCGGCAGGCTGGGTCCAGGAGCAGGGAGAGCCTACATTGTGCTATGGTTTGCGCTGCAGGGCGCTGGGGTATGAGGGCATGTGCCCCCATCTAGCCCTTCCTCTTCTGATTCCAGAAGGGAAACTGAGGCCCAGAGGGGTTTGGTCCAGGCCTGAGGGGTTGGGCCCTGAGCCTGGGTGTCCAGAGAGAGGGAAGGGCTGAGGAGCAGTGTGCTCCTGCACATGTTTCCAGGCCCCATGGCTTCTGGGACATCCACGTTTCCCCCAGAAACAACCTCTTGTGCGAACCCCCTCCCCCCTCCGCTGCTGCTGCATTTGGCTGCAGCCCAGAGCTGGAGCTGAGGGAGGCCCAGGCCAGGCCAGGCCCTGTTCTATAGGGGGAGTTGGGGGAGGGGGATCCATCTTACAGTGAAAATTTTTGGGAGGGGGAGAGTTCCCGGGAGGGGGGAGGGGGGAGAGTCCTTGGGAGGGGGGAGAGTTCCCCGAAGGGGGGGAGGGGGGAGAGTGTCCCGGGAGCGGTTGCCACTCCTGTTCCACGCTCAGGGAGGTTGTGGGATCCTGGGGCTGGCTGCCCCGAGCCAGGTAGAGAGCCTGGGCTGCCTCTGGCCTTGCTGACCAAGGGGGACCCTGTCCAGCTCTGCAAGGGCCCTGCCCAGCGAGAGCTCCCCTGAGGGCAGCTTGAGGGTTCCCACCATCAGAATGGAAGATGGGGTCACCCCAGTCCTCCCCTCCCCTCGTCTTCTCTTCTGTCTTCTCCCTCCCTCCCCCCCATCACCCCCCCCTTTCCTGGCCTATGCTTCCATCTTCCCTCATCCTCTCCTCTGGCACCTCTGGGGGACCGTGCCTGCTCATCGGCTAGCAGCTCTTTCAGCCCAAGTGACCCTGCAGCTGCCGGGCGGGCTGGCTCCCTGGTTGGCTGGCTCTGCTGGTTCTGGGGTCCCCCCCTGGGCCCCAGCGTCCCCCAGCATCCTCCCACAGTGGCAGGTGTGAACGTGGCCCGTGTGTGTCCCCCGGTGTGTGGGCCCGGCGCCGGCTCTATGCTGGGCCTGAGGACGAGGCGGGGGGGGGGGGTGTGTGCTGGGCCTGTACACAGCGTGGGGCGCAGGCTCGTGGCCCAGGGCAGCCTTCTCTTTGGAGGTGGGGGGTGAGAACCCCAACAGAAGGCCTGGGGGGGGGATGGCGCACCCTTGGAGCCACAGCCTTCTGTGACAATAAACACAGCCGGCACAGTCGGGAGAGTGTTTGTGCTTTATACAATTACCACACAGCCGGACGCCCTGTGTGCCCCACCACCCCTGCTGGGTGTATGGGGGGGCCCAGCAGAGCGCTCCATCCACCAATCAGAAAGCGGCCTTGGAGGGGGGCGTGCCCCACGGCAGGGCCACAGGCCATGCCCACGGAGGACTTCTCCAACGCTGCCTCCCAGGCTCGAGCCCACACATTTTCCGCTCCTGATTTGGGGTGCGTGCTGACACTTTGACTCAGCACTGGGGCGGCAGAGAGAGTAAGAGGACAGGGTCCCGCGTAGTGAGGCCTCTAAAGTCTAAGCACCCCTCTGGGACTGTGGCCAAAGCCCAGACTCCCCCCGCCCCCGGGAGCCCCCAGGGTGAGCTGTGGCCCAAGGCCCTGGCCTCTCCCCTCCCCCTGCAGCCCTGGCCTGGGCAGGCGGGGTGCATTTCTAGTCTTTTGGGGGCATTGGTACGGGCAGGGCCGAGTGACAGAGGTGCAGATAGAGCTCCCGAGGAGAGAAGGAGAGAAGCCACTCTCCCCCAGCTATGGCACGGGGCTGGGGACGGTACCCACCTCTGAGGGCCCCGGGGGAACGCAGGACGCCCCGGCCGGCCGCAGGGTCCCGGTCACGGCTGGCCCTCGCTGTGGGGGTGCGCCACCTTCCACACGAAGCGCCGGCAGTGCTGCAGGGCATCGCACATCTCGGCCGCCTCCTCCGTCTTACACCAGAAGCTGGGGCCCAGCACGCACTGGTCGGAGCCCAGGAGCGGGGTCCGGGAGCCGTGGCAGGCCCCGATCTTCTTGCACACGGCAGTGGGGTCCATGAGGAACTTGAGGCTCTCGATGAGCACGGGCTGGTACTGGATGACGAAGTGGTTGCACTGGGTGAGGTAGGGCAGGGGCAGGATGCTGCAGCCGCCCTTGAAGGCGCTCAGGATGTCCCGCTTGGTGGCCCTGCGGTCCAGGTTCTGCGAGGAGACGCCCAGCACGTTCTTGCAGGTGGCGCAGAAGCTGCCCTGGTTCTCTTCGTCCAGCAGCAGCGAGGGCGCCGCGTCCGGGGCGGCCGCCAGAGACCGCGCCTGCCTGGGGCTGCTGCACAGGCGGAGGGCCGTGCACACCTTCTCGGGCGTCACTCTGGTCACCAGCTCCACCAGAGAGGGGCTGTAGGTGTCCACCAGCGTGACGCACTGCTGGACCATGGACGCCGGCATGAAGGAACACACGCGCTCCAGGGCGTGGCTGATGATGGCCTCCGTGCTGTTGGTCATGAGCCAGCGGTCCACCTGTTGGATCACGTCCAGGCACACATCACAGGTCAGGCCGGACGTCATCTGCATCTCGTTCTTGGCCGGCAGCGCCAGCTCCAAGGAGGGGACCCCGTCCACCGCGGCCACCCGCGCCGGCTGCGAGGCGGGGCCCGGCCTGTCCTCACAGAAGCCGCCCTGCCCGCAGATGTCCCTCGGGGCGAGGAGCTGGAGCGTCTGCTCAGCGGGGGCCAGCAGCTGGCTGAGGTAGTTCTGGCAGAGAGCTCTCAGGCCGGGTCCCAGGGGGGCGCACTGTCCCTGGACGACGCTGGCCTCCGCCAAGGTCACGTTGGATCCCAGCGTAGCCTGGAGCCGGGAGATGAGCCGGACGCAGTCTGCACACACGGCGGCGGCGGCAGCGCCGGGCATCGGCGGGGGGTAGAAGCCAAGGGCCCCCTTTGCCATGAACGGGGCCACCACTTCGGACGCGGCCTCCCGGGTCAGCGGCGCCCCCGGGGCGGCCAGCTTCCGCTGCAGAGGCTCGCACAGGGTGAGGGAGGAGCAGACCGGCGCCGCCGCGCCGCCCCGGCCCCTGGCGAGCATGCGCAGCACCACCGGGCCGTGCGTGTCCACCATCCCCTGGCAGCGGGCTGCGGACTCCTGGCCCGACAGCCAGGCACAGGTCTTCATCACGGACGCCAGGACGTCCGACTCCGTGGCATTGGGGTTCAGCCCGTTGCCGGCTGCCGTCACCACATCCTGGCACACGGTGCAGGCCAGGGATCTGGTGGTGGGCTTGCTCCAGACCGCCGTTTGGCAGTGCGCCACCGCCCCGCACCTCACCGCAGCCTGCAGGTCCTGACACCACACCTGGGAGCCCTTGGCACACTCCTGGGGGACAGAGATGGGCCCGGCCATGGCCCCCAGGAGGCCGGGCAGGAGAAGCAGGGTACACAGCATGCTGCCGCTGGCTTGCCCGTCCGGTGCCGTCGGCTGCCTGGCTGCTGAATAAACCCAGTTGGCCTCCTAGCCAGAGTAGAAGAGGCTGGGTGCACCTGCATGCCCCGCCCCGCCTGACTCAGAGCCCGCCCCTGCTGGGGCCCACACCGGCCTCCCGGGCCTGTCCCCTGGCCTCTGTGGGGCAGCGCCCACGCCCAGACGCCGTCCGTCCGCCCCTCTTCTCCCCTGCGCAAATGCTTTCTTGCTGGGTTTCTTTGTAAACCTGGCTTCTGTCTGCGGTGGTTGTTCTCAGCTCTGGGCCTCTGCTTCCGGGCGGTGGGGGGGGGGGGGGGGGGGGGAGGGGAGTCCCCCCTCCCCTGACCTGACCCGCTTCCGCAGGCCCTCTCCACCAGGTGCTGCTGCCTGGTCCCCCTGGGGTGCTTGTGAGGCCCAGCCTCGCATGGGACCTTGGGACGCAGCTCCCGGGGAGGGGAGTCGCTCTGCCCTCTTCCTGCCTGGGGAAGGGTAGGAAGGCAGTCTGTGCCACCTGCTGGAGGGGGGCTGAACTTCCACTTTTCTTCCTTCCCTCCCCCTCCTTCCTCCTCCTCCCCCTCCCTTTCTTTTCTCCCCCCCCCTTTCTTCCTCTCTCCTCCCTCTCCCTCTCCTCTCCTCCTCCCTCTCTTACTCTCTCCCTCCCTGTCTTTCTCCCTCCCTATGGTACTGGGCTTTGAACTCAGTGCCTTGCACTTCCTGGGCAGGTGCTCTCCCACTGGAGCCACACGCAGCAGCCCCCATTTGCTTTCAGTCATTTTTCAGGTAGGGTCTTCTTCCTTTTTTTGCTTCCTTCCCTCCCTGAGCCAGCTGGTACCTCAATCCTCCTGATTGCTAACTCCTCAGTGGCTGGGATTAAAGGCCTGAGCCACAGCACCCGGCTCAAGGGCTGGTTTCTCGTGTGACCTCGCAGCCGTGTTTCTGGGGCAGGCCCTGCAAGCCTGGGGGAAACAGATCTCATCGTTCAGAGGCCCAGGCTGCTGGAGAGAAACAGGCTCTCCACCTCACACTGTGTGTGCGCGCGCGCGCGAGGGCGGCTACTTCCAGATCCCATAGGTTTCTTCATTCTGGAGATTTCTATCAAAGGCTAAGCGTGGGCTGGTCCCCAGAAGACAGGAGTTGAGCATTTGCGGAAGGTCCAGATGGACAGAAGGAGTTTGTTTTATCGTTAGGTTGTGTGTTATCTTTATTTTTCATTCCTTAGTTTTTGAAATCGACGTTAGGCAAGCGCGTAGGCACCGGGCAAACAGTGCAGGTGTCTGGAGAATTCCGGAGCTGGCCTCGCCCTTGGCCTGATTGCAGCATGGCTGTCCACCTCCGCCGGGCTCCCGCGGGGCATGGACGGGTCAGGGGCCCCGGTGGGGCTCACAGGCCCCTGCACGCCTCGGGGTATCAGTCCCACACGTGGGCGTCGTGGGTGGTGGGAGAGCCTGCCGCCTCCAGCTTTGTGGCCTGGGCAGGGATGGCACAGGGAACATCCAGTGGGGTTCGCTGAACCCCTTACATGACTTCATGGCCTCTGGTCCCCGGGGGCCAGGGAGGAGACAGTCCACTTTCAGCTGCAGGGCGGAGGACCAGCTCTGCGAGTTTCTGAGGAGGTGCGGCTGGTGAGCTGGTGCCTTATCTAGATGGGGCTGGGTGCGATGTGTTGGCACATGCCCGCCCGCAGCTCCCACAAGGACCAGACCCGCCGGGGCTGGGGGAGGGCCAAGCCTGCGTGGCTGGCAGCCCCAGCTCATCCCTCCAGTTTGTTTCGATCCCTTAGTCCCCAGGTCATCCCACAGATTCTGGAACGTTCTCCCCTTCCCACCTAGCACAATGGCCGCTTAGTAAGCGCATCTCTGGCCCACCACTCTTGGTGGCTGCGTGGGGTGGACGAGGGCTCCTGGGCCTGTCCATGTCCTTCTGGATGGCATGTGTCCCTTCCGGCTGGGGGGCTGGTACAGCATCTCCCCATCTCTGCTGGGCTGATCCCAAGCCAGCTGCAGCCCAGTCACATGGCACGTGCCCCCCCGGGGACTTTGGGGGACCGGGTGCCACCCCTGCTTCCCTTGGGGTGTGGTTGATTTCCTGTGCTTGCCAACCAAGCATCTGACAATGCAGCGTCCGGTCCCGATGCTAACCACCGTTCACATAGACCTACAAGGTGCGGGCTCAACTTAAGGAGGAGTCTGCCCCCCCCACTTTACCCCTGCTTCACCCATGCCCCCTCTCCGGACTTGGCCATTTGCTCCAGGATTCGGCTGGGAGCAGCCCGGGGCAAGGCACAGCACGGAGGGACCGGGCAGGGGTGTACCGCCCTCCAGCTCCTCTTATGGGAACCCCAAATCTCCAAATCTTGCCCAAGAGTCTATGGAGTTGAATCTCCGGCGTCCTGGCTGTTCCTGTAGGCCGTGTGTTGGGGTGAGAAGGTTCTGGAGGCTAGCCCCATCATGAGTGGGCAGAGCCCCTCGGACGTGACCCAAGGCACTCGCCAGTAGAAAAGGGTTGTCGCTCGCGAGGTCCCCAGCACTGGAGGAGCTCGGAACCAGGCACAGGACAGGAAATCTGAGGTATTCGGATTGGGCCACGGGGGATTATGGGATTTTTTGGACATGGCTTCTCAATTTAAAGGTAATTGTGAAAAGAGTACCAAAAACTCCCATGTATCCTAGATACACCTCCTGTTTGCTTAAGTGTTCTTCCTATAACTCCTTCCTTTCTTCTCATCCATCCATCCATTCACCCATCCATCATCCATTTATCTATCCATCCATTCATCCATCCATCCATCCATTCATCCATCCATCCGTTCACCTATCCATCATCCATCCATCCATCCATTCACCCATCCATCATCCATCCATCCATCACCCATCCATCCATCCATTCACCCATCCATCATCCATCCATCCATCACCCATCCATCCATCCATCCATCCATTATCCATCCATCCATTCACACATCCATCATCCATCCATTCCTCATCCATCCATCCATCCGTTCACCCATCCATCCATTCATCCATCCATCCATTATCCATCCATCCATTCACCTATCCATCATCCATCCATTCCTCATCCATCCATCCATTCATCCATCCATTCATCCATCCACCATCCATCCATCCATTCATCTATCCATCCATCCATCCATCCATCATCCATCCATCTATCATCTGTCCATACACATACATACTTAAATATATTTTTCATAACCCAGCAACTATTACTGTAGATTTTTTTCCTTTGCCTTATTTATCTATTTGTTCACTTATTTGACATTACTGGGGTTTTAACTCAGGACCTCGTACTTGCTAGGCAAGCACTCTGGCACTTGAGCCCCTGGTCCAACACTAATTACTTTCGTTAGGGTCTTGTTTTCAACATCTCACATTTGTACTGGGACGCCAGGCATGGGCCACTGCCACCACCGTGCCCAGCCCATTATCAGTCAGTAACTGTGATCCCCACCCTCCATCTCTACCTCCCAAGTCGCTGCGAGTTGCAGACGTGACCAGTCACGGCCAGCTCCTCTGCCCCATTTCTTCAGCGTGTCTTTACCAAAGGCAAGGGCATTCTCTCTTATCACGGAGCACTTGAGAAAGGCAGTGTTGACACAACACTGCCCTCCACCCTCACCCCTGCCTGGCATCCGCGGTGCTGCCCTGTGCTGCCTGCTTATCTCCCAGGCTGGACCCTGTCACAGCTCCGCTCACCTTAGTCACGTCAGGCCTTGCTTGTCTTCTGTGATGTGGGGCACAGGCCGCTTCCTCCCAGGGCCACAAGCCAATCCTGCCCCCAGGCCGGGTCAGTGAGTGGAGGGAAGGGGCGAGGTCCCCTGCGAGGTCCCCTGTGAGGAACTACCACTGGCAACCAAAAAACCCACGTTTCCATCTCCTGGAATAGGTTTTGATACGTAGCATTTCAATGCTCAGACTTGTTACGCCTTTGTGTTCCTCCCGAAGGGTTGCCTCCTTTAGTTGGACTGTGTGCATGAATGCCTAGAGCCTGCATAGCTTATCATGTCCAGTTCTATTTTAGATCGAGCTTCCACTGATGGGGGAAAACATTCGTCTTTTGTCTCTCTGAGCTTGGCTGACCTCACTTAGCATGATTTGTTCTAGATCCATCCATTTCCCTGCAGATGACATCATCTTACTCTTTCTAATGGATGAGTAACATTCCGTTGTGTGTAGGTACCACATTTTATTGATCCACTCATCTGTTGTAGGGCATCTGGATGTGTGAGTGTTTTACTGTATCCTGACTTGTAAGGATCAGGGTAGATGCCCACAGTGGTTTGGCTGGGTCAGAGGAAGGTCTGTTTCGTTCTTGGAGGAACCTCCAGACTGCTGTCCAGAGTGGTTATACTAGTTCACACTCCTGGCAACAGTGCTCCCCACGTCTCCACCAGCGTTTGTTTGAATTCTTGATGTTGGCTAATCTAACTGGGGTGAGCTGGAATCTCAGAGTTGTTTTGATTTGCATTTCCTTTATGGCCAGAGATGTTGAGCATTTCCTTGTGTGTCCATTTGCCATTCTTGCTTCTTCTGAGAAGTCTCTCCTTAATTCCTTTGCCTAATTATTGATTGGTTTGTTAGTTTGGGGAGGTGTTAGTTTTTTGAGCTCCTTGTGTATTTTGGACGTTAGGCCTTTGTCAGATGAACTGCTGGTGAGGATTTTCCCCCGTCTGTTGGATAGCTTAGTGACTGTGTCCTTTGCTGTACAGAAACTGTTTTTTATCTTAATGTAATCCCATTTGTCAAGTCTCTCTCCTATTTTTGGGTACTCGGGACTCTTCAAAAAAGTTCCTACCTATACCTATGAGTTCTAATGTTTCTCCTACTCCATCTTGCAGTAGTTTCAAAGTTCCAGATCTGATGTTGACATCTTTGATCTACTTTGAGGTGGTACTGGTGCGTGGTGACAAACAGGCTCCCTTGTCAAATATCAAATAATCAGGTATATGGCTTTATTTCTGGGACTTCTAGTCTATTCCATTGATCTTCTGGTC